ATATTATTATTTTATTATAAAATTCGCGATTTTTGGCAAAGTATTTTGAAAAAAGAAATAGGTTGTAGCTATATAAATCGGCAATGCTTATTTTGATAATGAAAAACATAAAAATTTTTAACTTTAATTGCTAAATAGATACTATTAAATTTCATTATAAAAATACACAAAAAAAAATTGTTTAACTACATTTTTAATTTGAATCTTCTATAATCGAAATCCGGAAATCCGGCCGGATTTTAGTCGGATAACAAAAAATAACGGTCGGCTAAGCCGGACATCTCTACTTAGGATACCAATGCACATATATCAGTATTCCAAAACTCATTTAAATAATTTAATGCAATCTAGAATAAAAATTTGGGACCGAAGTGAAAGAAAAAAATTCTTTAGAACTTAAAAATATATAATTTTTGTGGTTCACAAGGTCGAATTAATATTGAAAATGTCCTTTAAATTATTTTTGTTTTTAAGCTATTAAACTAGAATCACGACATTCGAGAATATGGTTGTTTTGCATATTAATGCTTACACTATAATTTTTTCAAAAACAAACACTGCAATTTTTTGGAATACTCAAGGATAAAATTTTAAAAGGACCTATTCGTCCTTATGCATTAAAAAATTTTATATTTTTAAATTCTAAAGAATTTTATCTTTCATTTGGCGCCCATATTGTTATTCTACATTGCACTGATTTTTTTTAAATAAGTTTCGGAACTACTCATATCTTTGAAATTTCAAAGTACTTGAAAAAAAAAATTCTGAAGACAGAAAATCTAAAAACGCAGTTTTATTATATTTGGCTTCTAGTTTTGTGGGTACGTATTTTCTTTTAGTGTAAAAATTACTTTTGCTCGGTGTAATTAACTTGATTCTTTTGAGTGACTTATGTCACTTTCAAACTAGCCTCAGTAGTTCTTAACATTTCAGTGCAATTTTTTAATGAACAGATACCGTTAAATTGTAATTAGCGATATCATTAAGTCGATTTTTTTTTAAGTGGCACATGCCACTTTTAAAATAAACAAAATAGCCTCACCATCAATGCAAAGGGCCCTACATATTAAAAAAATTTAAACTTTTTCAGAAGCAAACGATGGTGACGATAAGCATACACATGTATGTCTGTATGTGTATACCTGCCTGTACATAAATACATAGCGTTCATTTATAACGCTCGTATCTATAGTTCTTTTCGAAGTATAATCAGCCCAATTCTGAATACTCCCGGGGAGTTTATTCTCCGGGATTTTGTTTCGCGCAAGAAAGATATCCTCCAATAATTAGCTTCCAGGGAGTAGCATTTTCCCCGAAAATTCGAGAGGATAATATTCGAACTTCGACAGAGCTGTTTGACACTTTTTTGACAGCCCAACTCCGCCATTTAAACCAAAAAATTGATCATTGAGTTTTTATTCATGATAGGAGGAAGGAGAAAAGAGGAAAAACCCGCGGAGAGTTTCTGTTCTGTTTTTTCCAAAATACTGCATTTATACTTTTTTTGCTGCCTAAATTTCTTAATACACAGTGTTCGTGGAAACACGTTATTTACTGTTATGTATGTATGATATGTATGTATGTAAAAAATAGGGACACGACAACTTTACCAGTTTTAGACTATTTTGCTTGGTTTATTTAATGTTTATTAATTTTTTATTAACGCCTAGTTAATTATATAATACTTATATGGTGTATCCACATTTCAAACTTTGTTCAGTAATTACCAAAAAAAATTCACAACTTCTTATTCATAATTTTTAGAAAAATTCCAAGTGTGCAGTTTTGCAGCTTATTAATAATAAGGTGCAAGTTTCAATAGGCCAAGAATTCGCGTTGATTTTTGGTTTTTTTTTNAAAACGCAGTTTTATTATATTTGGCTTCTAGTTTTGTGGGTACGTATTTTCTTTTAGTGTAAAAATTACTTTTGCTCGGTGTAATTAACTTGATTCTTTTGAGTGACTTATGTCACTTTCAAACTAGCCTCAGTAGTTCTTAACATTTCAGTGCAATTTTTTAATGAACAGATACCGTTAAATTGTAATTAGCGATATCATTAAGTCGATTTTTTTTTAAGTGGCACATGCCACTTTTAAAATAAACAAAATAGCCTCACCATCAATGCAAAGGGCCCTACATATTAAAAAAATTTAAACTTTTTCAGAAGCAAACGATGGTGACGATAAGCATACACATGTATGTCTGTATGTGCATACCTGCCTGTACATAAATACATAGCGTTCATTTATAACGCTCGTATCTATAGTTCTTTTCGAAGTATAATCAGCCCAATTCTGAATACTCCCGGGGAGTTTATTCTCCGGGATTTTGTTTCGCGCAAGAAAGATATCCTCCAATAATTAGCTTCCAGGGAGTAGCATTTTCCCCGAAAATTCGAGAGGATAATATTCGAACTTCGACAGAGCTGTTTGACACTTTTTTGACAGCCCAACTCCGCCATTTAAACCAAAAAATTGATCATTGAGTTTTTATTCATGATAGGAGGAAGGAGAAAAGAGGAAAAACCCGCGGAGAGTTTCTGTTCTGTGTTTTTCCAAAATACTGCATTTATACTTTTTTTGCTGCCTAAATTTCTTAATACACAGTGTTCGTGGAAACACGTTATTTACTGTAACGTATTTGTAGATATGTATGTATGTAAAAAATAGGGACACGACAACTTTACCAGTTTTAGACTATTTTCCTTGGTTTGTTTAATGTTTATTAATTTTTTATTAACGCCTAGTTAATTATATAATACTTATATGGTGTATCCACATTTCAAACTTTGTTCAGTAATTACCAAAAAAAATTTCACAACTTCGTATTCATAATTTTTTAGAAAAATTCCAAGTGTGCAGTTTTGCAGCTTATTAATAATAAGGTGCAAGTTTCAATAGGCCAAGAATTCGCGTTGATTTTTGGTTATTTTTTTGTCGACGGTGTTATTATTTTCGTCCATACAAAAGAAATTGTCGAACCTAGTAACTTTGTATGGAAGAAAATGCATGACGCCGGCAAAAATCAACGGTATTTTGTAGAAACTTTCCAGTTCGGTTATGCAAGACTTAGGATTGACCAAGGTGTATTAAACAATGTGTGACTGACAACTCAGATAGGCTCTCTTTTAAGTTACTATTATGCCAAAAAATATAAACAAGCGATTCAAATTATATAGAAAAGTTTTTCAATTTGACTTCATAGGATGGTTCTTCTGAGAGCAATGTGAAATTCAATCACACTTTGTTAAATACATTTTGGGCTTGACCATGATACAAATATTTAAAGGTTGTTTCACTTATTCTGGCTGCCATTTGACGTAAACTGTGCTTTTGGCATTTTCATTTAAATTGTAGCTACCATATCCTTGAAGAAATTAAAAAAGTAAGTTTTTACTTAAAAAAAAAAAAAATATTTAAAAAAAATATATATTTTTAGATTCATTTTATAGCGAGCTTTTACTAAACTAAACTAAATATAAATCGGAAGGCAAGTAAAATGCTCGTATTGCATTGTTTAATGCACACAGAGAATCTATTTTTTTATGCAATTATTTTCATCATTATTTAGTACGATTAGCTGCATATTTCAGGATGGCCACGTGCATGGTAACTTCACAAAGGTTTTGTTTGTTTTTTCCAACCAATGCTCGGCAGAAAATTTTCCGTCTCAGAACGGATGTGCGAAATCGAAGCGAAACGCGGCAACACCAGCGAGCAGCTTATATATCTATAAACTATAACGAAGAGCTTAAGAATTAGGAAATTTTTTACCTCCCTCTTCATGCCCATATCTTACGTTATCACAAATGAGTTTATGCTTCCACGGTGCTTTCATTGACGGTAAGCTACTTTTTAACCATTCCATTATTCATATTTCCACTAAAGAGGATCCAAATTAAAGCAACATTTATTATCCAATTTTCTTGAAGTGCCACTTATAATATTTCATATAACACTGCAGATAATGCCGATTTTTTTCGCGGTAACTTACTTGAAGGTATCTTAAAACAATACACACTTATTAACAGCTTTGTTAATACCGTGAAATAAGTAAATTTACCTTGCGTGTTATTATTTTTTAATTCATAAAAAATTCCTTTAAAAAATATTAAAATTTCCAAAACAATAATTTGTTGAGGTGGCAGTGCTACTTAAGCAATTTACGAAAAGTATAAACGTCGTTAACAGTTTATGTCTAAGTGTTATTTCAAAGTGAAACTACCTTCTTTTTTAACCGACTTCACAAAAAGGAGAAGGTTATCAGCACGTCGGTATATTTTAATTTTTTTTTTTTATAAGTATGTTACCGCATAACTTTAGACAACGTAAACCGATTTCGATAATTCTTTNTATTTTTTTTTTTTATAAATATGTTACCGCATAACTTTAGACAACGTAAACCGATTTCGATAATTCTTTTCTCAGCAAAAAGGTGGTATCTCATAGGTGGTTCCAGACTAATTTTGTTTAGATCCAACAATTGGATCGTGAATAAAATGACGATAATCATACATTTTTATATGAGAATTGAAGTCGGTTTTGTTTTTTGTTTAAAAATTACTAGTTTGTATCATGGGCTTGGCTTGACTTACCTAGAAACTTAGAAATGATTACTCTGCGCGTCATATACTGCTTTATCTCTTTTTTATCCTAAGCATTTGTATTTGTACACGTGAAATTGTGAACGTGTAATTTGTTTGGAGTGAAATTGAATCACAGTTTTTTGTCCGAAAAAAGATACGAGCATTACTAATTTATTAAGGCTATGTGCGAACATCTCCATTCATAGGAAAAGATGTTTTTGCAACTAATAAACCCTATACAGGTTGGCTTACGAGAACAACTTTTTCTGTAAATCCTTCTAATCGCCACCTGAAATGCAAATTAAAAAGTGAATTTGAATTTTTATTTAGTTACGACTTTGCATTTCAAGTGACGAAATATTACTTTAGCTGGTATATGATCTATGCATGCTCTTTTTATCATGTTATCACTACCTTTTCACATTTCTTCATATCGCGACAAGCCATATAAATGGTAGCTCCTCTCTTAGCTAGTTCACGGGCAGTCTCTTTCCCAATGCCAGTGTTAGCTCCAGTAATGACGACCACTTTCCCCAATGCCGTGGTATTTTTTCTGTATTTCCCACCCTGCATATACGACCTATTAAAATAATTGTATTAATATTTTTAAGAGTTCAAATTTCCAATTACATACCTGAAAAGCCACAGAGCACCGGCTCCTAATAACAGCCAGGCGTAGGGAATTTGCTCCATGAACAAGGCTATATCTAAAGATATTTGAAAAAAATTCACAGCAAACTCGGGAATATCCTTCAAATTAAATTAATAAGAATTGAATGTTTTAATAACACCGATATTTTATAGATAATTCAATCAAAATGAATCAAAATATTTTTGATGAAATGGCCAAGTGAAAAACCGACACCAGAGGTGCAAAAAAATGGCCGAAAAATACCATGTACAACATGTTGCTTTTACTTAGTCGACAGGGAAAAAAATTCGTGCCATCCACTTGAAAAAAATCTACAAAATCTGGAAAATATCTACCAATATCTTTTTTTTAGTTATTTTAATAAAAACTATAGCTTTGTTCTATTTTTTCGTTGTTACAATAAAAATAAAGTTTTTATTATGGACTTTTTATTTAACTAATGACAGGGTATTTGGAATCATTTTAACGGCAGTGATGAAACTAAAGGCAACGAAACTTTAACTGGATTATTATAGACAAATAAAATGACTCAAAAAACCAATTGGTATTTTTTGAAGATTCACAAAGTTTTTCAAGTAAAAACTTTGTGCTATGTTTTTTTTTTTATAAAAATCAAGCATACAAGCTTTCTACAGAAAAACTCCAAAAATTGTCGTCTACATTCCGGACTTTTTACTCTGAGTTTTTAGAACCATTTTGGGTATGCATTTTTTATAGCCAATGGACTTTAAAAACATTTTCTTCGCCGGTCTTTTATAATTTTTTTCCTTTAACAATTACCATTTATAAAAACTGGCGGTGATTATTATTTTTTTTTACGAGCAATCGCATACCTGTCCATTTTTTGTTCTTAATTAAAGAATAATTTAAAATATTTAGGCAATCATAAGCGCAGTATTTTAGTAAAATGAGGTTTGAATGGAGCACGCTATTTGATAGGATGTATTAAAATAGTACACTTTCAATACAAATATTTAAAGTGTTAGTACTTAAAGCAACGGAGTTTCATGCAACTTTTTAAAAAGCCCTACCTATGTTTGATACTATTTAGATTTTTTTTTTTGCTTCGCCTGTAAAATAAAAAATTTGTTGATTAGGGCCTTTGTGAATTAGGGTAAAATTAGGAATGTTCGATATCGTATCTATTATCCTCAATATCGATATTTCATGGCCTGATAATCGATCGAAGACATCGATACTTTACCCGCAATATCGATATTTAAGTTGAAATTTATTTTTCATCTGCAAAAAAGTGTATGGGAAAATACTACAGTAGGTTTAATCAGCAGCTTGTGTGATTTATTTAGCTCTTAAGTTTGACAAACAGCTTATGTCGACCGGCATGCCGTTTTAATCCTCGGTAAATATACAAATTTGAAATAACACAATTAGGTGAGTTGATGGGCAGGTTTAATATTCTATTCAATTGGGAGTAGGATTTTCAACATCATTTTTTTCCATATCGATATTGTTCACCCCGATATATCGCTATCTCGATTCTACATGCAATGAATTGAATCGATTCATGATATCGATACTTTCTTAAATATCGAACATACCTAGTAACGATATGTATGCAAATTAAAAGTGTGCATCAATGGGTTCGGAAATGGTGCAATAGAGTACACTACACTTTTCGAAAGAAATTTACAATATAAAGATAACTACAAAAAATAAAGCGAGAACGCTTATTTATTTTACAAGCCAAAATCTACCAGAGAGACAAAAAATTTACCTTTTTACCAACAAAAATTATTTCTACTAATTTTGGTAATAATTTAAAAAAAAAAGGCAACCCTGTTAGTTGAGCACCACCTACATGTGAAGCGATTCATAGTGTTAGCAGCGCCATCTAAAAGGGAAATTTTAGAGTGCCAACCCTGGCGACGCCTCAAAAGATGGCGTTCGGTTTTCCCTTCGGCAGAAGAAGAAGCACACACGGGGAGGAATAGCGTAAAAATATTGTGGTGTTTGCGCGAAAATCTACAAATAATTAGTGCAGAAATATGCAACTATCGTGAAAATAAAACCAGCATAGTGGAGATTAGATGTCTCATATTACAAAGTGAATTGTATATTAAATAACAGAGATGTAAGCATTTAGAATTTGTGTGGTTTTGTGTACCTTTGGTGGTGACAGCCACAGCGGCAACTAGAGCTGATGTGAAGCACCAAGAGACGATAAGAATACGCCACAAAAAAAAAAAAAAATTAAAGAGTAGGACCTAGCTGCCGGCTTAAATTTGTACGGTTTTGTGCTTATAACTAACAAATTTTTAGTTTTACGTTTTAAAAGAGTATTTTTGATACAAAATTAATTTTTCAAATATTTGTAACATATGCATACTTGTATAAAAGTTGGATAAAAAAACGTAAGAAATCGTTGCATCTGCTTTTAGATTTGTCTTCCAGCTGCTGTTTGAGACATATGTGTTATTGAAATTAGCCATGTAAAACCACGCATCAATAGCTTATAACATTTGGCAACTCGCCAAACTATCGCTATACATATCTGCAATTTTCTTCAACTTTCATATTTACTTTAATAATTCCAAATAACATTTCAATCTTACAGTTTTTGTAGACTATTTCAACAGAGTCTGCAACTCAATTGTTGACAAAGACAGGTTGGAAAGCAGAAGGAAGCGGAAAGAACCCGAGTCGATAGATAACAAATATGGCGGAAGTAAAATATCCCGCAGGTTGCCGTCCGCTGACTGAGGATTTAGGCACGGATGAGCTGATTCGTAGACTCAAGGTAAGATAATATTTTCATGTTATTCTATTGCTCGTTTTAATATTGATCCTTACTTCCAGACACTAGCTCATGCCTTACAGGCCATGGGACAAGATGAGAAACACCTCCATGACTACATACAATTAGCATTGGTTCTGGTAGATGATTACTTCCTGCAACACCAGTCTCGCGATGTTCAACTTCTTGTGGCATGTTGCATTGCCGATATTTTGCGGGTGTTTGCTCCTGAAGCACCCTACAAAGATCAGGATCAAATCAAAACTATATTCATGTTTTTCATAAAGCAGCTTCACGGTCTCAAAGACCCAAAAGATGCATCCTTCAAAAGATACTTTTACTTGTTAGAAAATTTGGCCTTTGTAAAATCGTTTAACATGTGTTTTGAAATTGAAGATTGCCAGAAAATATTCTGCCAACTTTTTGCTATGATGTTCAAAATCATTAAGTGAGTACATACATTTTTTACATTTGCTTAGATTTTGAATTTTGCGATGGTAGTAAATATTACATTTGCAGCGAGAATCACAGCACCAAAGTAAAAAATTTTATGATTGATATAATGAGCCCACTAATTACGGAGGCCGATAACGTGACTACCCCATTACTGGACTTAATTTTGATAAACATTGTAGAGCCTCTGAAATCTAATAACGTTCATTCATATCAGTTAGCAGAACAATTAATACAGAAGACAAGTTACGCATTGGAACCAATTATTAAGATTGTAAGTTTTCAAAGTTGACGGTTTAAGTATTCATCAAGTAATTGAGAACTTTGTTTTTAATTTTAGTTTTTCAACCAAGTGCTTATTTTGGGTAAAATTGATAAAAATATTGCGATAACGGCTAAAATATATGATCTCATCTACGAGCTAAATCAAATTAGTCCGAATCTGATGTGTTCTGTTTTGCCTCAACTGGAATGCAAATTGAAATCCACAAATGAAATAGAACGGATGAGTAAGTATTTTATTACATGTACGTATGTTTGAAAGTCATTCGCGAAATTTATTTCATAATTATTTCAGAGGCTGTATCTCTATTAGCCCGAATGTTTTCTGAAAAGGATTCCCAACTTTCAAAAAAACATACTTCGCTTTTACGTATGTTATTAGGACGTTTTTGCGATATTGCCTCTGCGATACGTGTTAAATGTGTACAATCTTCAATGCATTTCTTGCTCAATCACCCACACTTGCGCAACGACATAATCGAATGTTTGCGCGCGCGACAACACGATTCCGATGAAACTGTCCGTTACGAAGTTGTAATGGCCATTGTTGCGACTGCGAAGCGAGAATTCAACATCGTTTGTGAATCTCAAGATTTATTACATATTGTCCGCGAACGTACGCTGGATAAGAAATTCAAAATTCGAAAAGAAGCTATGAACGGGCTAGCATTTATTTATAAGGGGGTGAAGTGCGAGCCCAATGACCTTTCCTCGGAAGTAAAAAAATCTGTTGGTTGGATAAAAAATAAAATTCTTCACGGCTATTATATGCCCGGAATTGAAGATCGTCTACTTGTTGAACGTTTACTTATTACCTGCCTAGTGCCGTATAAGTTGCCGCCCGACGAGAGAATGAAAATGTTGTATCATCTGCTTGGAACACTCGATGATAATGCCATGAAAGCATTTATGGAGATACAGAAAAATCAAATGAAAACGCGAAAAACTGTTAGCGATTGGATAAAAATGCATCATACCAAAGAACTTACACAAAAAATGTTGAATCAACATAACGTTAAACAGGCTCTCATTTGCAAGTAAGATTTATCAGTTTTTTTAGTATAAAAATATTAAAAATAAACTCCCATCCAAATATAGATTATTGCCAGACCCTCTTAAAGCTAGTGAGTACATTGCTAAATTCAGTATCAACATGCGCAAAGATGGTACCTTATTGCGTTATATGGAGATCATTTTGAAGCGTGATGTGTCTTGCAAGGAGTGCGCTGATACTATGTCCTTGCTTCTTAAGAAACTAGGAAATCCCATGACGGCTAATTTGTATTATAATACCGTAAAAATGCTTATAGAGCGGGTCGCTTCCGTCATGGTGGACAAAGAGTCTATCGGCATACTGATAAGGTAATTATATACAAACAGAAAAGCTCGGTATTTTTTTTTTCAAACGAAATATAATCCCCGCAGCCTTATTGACCAATGTATGCAGCGAGGCAAGATTGTGGAAGAGGTGGGAATACCAAGCGACGAAGCTGGTGAACGTGGTCTTAAATTTCTGTGTGTAAGTTATTTGCATACATACATTTGTACATATATGGAGCTCTGCTTATTGATTTACTTTCCTTAAAGATGCTTTCTTATATATTTTCTGCACATTTTTTCACCGATGAAACCTTACAACACATGATCGCCTTACTGAGTCACGAAGAGGACTATGCTGCGCCACTGATTCTTAAGGCCCTCGTACATCTAGGACGGTATCATCCCTTATGTGACATCAATCCTGCTATTGTAGCAGCCCTTGCTTCTATTTGCAAAGATTTTGCATTAACCGGAACAGTAAAGCAAGCCAAGCACGCAGTGCGTTGTATATTCGTCAATGTACAAACTCAAACGATCGGTGGCACTGACGCTGGCGCCGACACTATAAGTCCTCCAACAAAAACGCCCATCATTCATCCAATTTTCAATGAAATTATAGAAACTCTACGGGTCACACTCTCCCCACGAGATCCATATCAGCATACAAAAATTTGTACGTTAGGCCACATTGCGTACCACATGCCTCAAGCCTTCCTCACACCAGTGAAAAATATGATAGCTCGTCGCGTTGTAAAAGAGCTTCTTATTCAGGGCGTTTCGGAGACCCGAGATTGTATACTGCCGGCCGGGGACTGGTGTGACAAAGAAGGACTGCCTGCGGATATACTTTGTAAGCTAGATGCACTTAAAACAATGGCTCGCTGGCTAATTGGCCTACGTTCAGATGAACATGCTGCACAGAAAACATTTCGCATGCTAGTCGCTTTCATAAATCAGCGAGGCGACTTACTGGAGCAGAATCGACTGTGCCCAGCAGAGAAATCGTGGTTACGTCTCAGCGCTGCTTGCGCCATGTTAAAGATTTGCGAACAAAAAGGTGTTGGGGATCAGTACAACGCGGAGCAGTATTTCAATTTATCGCAAGTTATGGTAAGACTTAAGAAATATACACACATTCAAAATGCTTTGCTCGATATCGCTCAGAAAATGTTGCAGATTTACATATCGAGTCGTTTGAAAGTGGCATACCTGTAACTAGTTTATTTGAGTTCTGGCTGTCTTAGTAAATGGGCAATATATCATTTGTTATTTATTTTATACGTAACTGTAGTGTGATCCTGTGCCTGAGGTGCGTGATATGTTCGCACGAAAACTACATAAAGGTTTGGGCAAAGGACTACCGAACAAATGCTTACCATTGGACTTTATGGGATATTACGCACTAGTTGGTCATGAAACTGATAAAAGGTCTGCATTTATGTTATAAAATCGTTAAATTTTCTATATTATGTATTTGCGCTTTAGATTGACGGAAGTCATCCGAAACTACGTTGAAATCGATGTTAATAAAAGGCGGGAATATCTCAAAACTCTAGCGACAATGTGTAAGTGGTCAATGCCATCGTGTTTAGTCATATAAATAATATTTTTTTATTTCATAGCGACTGAGACCAAAAATGATGCGCAAACTGCATATATTTTACCTGATTTCATGTTAGCATTTGCGATACCTGTCCTTGCACATGACCCAACCTTTACTGACTACGAAGATCGCAACCAGCTGAAACAGGTGGAAAAATGTTTGCGCTTCATTCTTGAACCGCTTATGGCGAAACGTGAAGCTTTCTCATACAGCTTCTACACCAACCTTATACAGATGATGAAAAATCACCAAGACACCACACCGAACGCCGAAGATCATGCGTATAACTTCGTAAGTTTTGCATTAGAATTCACCTCAAAAATGTTACCGACGGTATTTACATATATAAAACAAACATTCAAACCTAATGAAATTTTTTTAGAAAATGTGGGCGGCATGTGATCTAGCTTTGTACATAATTAACTCGAAAATCGGCGATGGAAGCTCATCTGCAAATTCATTTTCTGTTCAAATTCAATTACCAGAGATGTATTATAAGCCTTTGGATAAACCTGGAAACGATTTAAAGGTATATATACCTCTGGACACGTATACGTTAGCATCAAGTCCCATATCTGGAACGACGAAGATAAACACTTCGGCAGCTGTTTCAACGGTGGTTAAAAAATTTGCAACTCCGGCCGCTAGCAGCACGACGATGCGTCTTGTTGGCGAAAAACGTGCGGCTGACCATCTGCCAAGCAATGAAAACTCGCCGACAAATTCGCAGGTGAGCATTCAACGCAGTCTCGCGAAATATATAAACTAAAAAATGCCTTATTGATGCTAGGATAACACTGTCACCTACGAGGAGAGTAAAGTGGAGTCGAACGCAAGTAGTATAGCTGAGCCAGCAGCCAAACGAACCCGCGGTCCTTTACGTGTGGGAAAAACAGTTTCATAAAATCTAAACAACGGCCGTGGTTAAAAAAAAACCAGACGTCCACAAATGCATCCCTCCTGAACCGGCACAACGCCTTGGAGCACTTATACGTACTATGCAGGGAATCGTAACAACACATACATACATACATAGCCGTTGCATCTGTACATTTCTAAAATGAGAAAGCCAGCCTATTAATCCTTTACTAGTAGGTGAATTTTTATTTTTCAACAATAGGCACCTTTTTGAATTGCGTATGTGTAAAGGCACAAACACAAACGATGAAAACTCTCTGGGTCGAGTCTTATGTTTGTGTGTACATTGGTTTTATTATGACTGGGGGTCCTGACCGATTACTTATAAATTACAATTACACAAGAATAAAAATTGTTTGATTTATATGATAAAAAGATAGTATTTAAGCATTTATGTATATTGATTGAATATTGAATATAAAATATTTGAAAATAATATATAATAAAATATATAATATAATAAAAAACATAATGATATAAAAGATTGGCGCTTACACAATAAGTTAATGTTTGGCCGAGGTTCGCCTCCGATTTGTGGCGTGCGCGAACATACCAAGTTAACACAAAGCCGACTCCGCTCGACTTGGGGTTAACGTGCCATCGCACGATTTTATGAACTAAAATGATTTAAAAAAAGCGCCGATTTTTTATGCTTCTTCCTTTTCAATCTCTCTATATTATTTTATTTTTTATTTATTTTTTTAGTGTCTTTAAAGCCAAAAATATCAACTTTATTAAAGTAAGTGTAAGTAAACCAATTTATATCTTCTTTACAATTTGCACGACGTCTTCATCGTTGAGGATATGGTCGATACCCACTTTTTGCGGTTGATGCTTAACGGAAGAGCCCCACACCAAAGCACTGAAATACATAGCACATTATTAGGCCAAAATTTATATAAATTACTTACTATTTAAATTCTTTAGCTATTGTTCGATGCAGCTTATTACAAAAATCCTGTATACTTGTGCGTTCATTATGTAGTACGATGGGTGAGGAGTAATCCGGCAATTGACCCTTCGGTTTCGTGTAACTACCAAAAGCAAGAGCTGAAATATTTTCATTTAATTTTTTAAAGTTGCTTACATGCGGACCAGTTTCAAATAATCCCACATCATCTCCAGTAAGTCGTCAAAATTCCAGCGATGATGTGCAGATATTGGAACACAATGCGGAATCTTATAAATAACATCCAGTTCCTCGATGGAAATCTGATCGATTTTGTTAAGAAGATAAATACAGGGTATGTAAATACGATTACCCTCGATAACATCAATTAGATCGTCGCTAGTCGCATCATATCGCAACGTTATATCAGCGTTATGTATCTTATATTCGGAAAGGATTGTCTTAACGAGATCTGCATCTAATTCAGATTGTGGTACCATGCAGTTGAAATTGACACCTCCCTTATCTTTGCGTTTAAAGTATATATTTGGTGGCTTTTTGTTTAAGCGAATGCCAAAACCTTCTAATTCATGTTCAAGTAGTTTTTTATGTCCTAAAGGCTTGAGACAATCTAAAACCATAAAGATTAAATTGCATGTTCGAGCTACAGCGATAACTTGACGACCTCGACCTTTGCCATCTTTAGCACCCTCGATGATTCCAGGTAAATCCAAGAGCTATTTGCGTGGATGATAGAGAAATGTTAAGTAAAGTTGTACATCGTGCATATGTATGTTATTATATTTAAAATTTTACCTGAATCTTTGCGCCCTTATATTTAATACAACCCGGAACCGTGGTCAAAGTTGTGAATTCATAGGCTGCGACCTCACTGTAAACACCTGCCAAGTTAGAGAGCAAAGTTGATTTTCCCACCGATGGGAACCCCACGAATCCAACTCGTGCGTCTCCAGTTTTTGCAACCTCAAAGCCTGTACGAAAGATAATGCAAGTTTGAATATCCATTTTATTTTTTACAGCTCCCAAGCTCAAAATAACTTTTATCAGTTACCTTCACCACCGGCACCGCCGCCACCGCCTTTTGGAGAGATCAATTCCCGACGCAGCTTTGCCAGTTTAGCTTTCAGAAGACCCAGATGAGCTGATGTGGCTTTGTTCTTTTGGGTGCGTGCCATCTATCATTTAATCAAAATGCCAAGGTATCCACGGATGCGGCAAATGATGTTAAGGTTAGTTTTTATTTGGATCAACAGTTTAACTTTTATTAGTTACCTCGGATTCGATGGCCGCAATTTTTTCCAGTATTGTACTCATAGCGCCGTTGGTTTTCTACTCTGATTAACCAAAAAAGTGGTTGCTCTTTAATTTACCACTTTTTGAGAACGCGTGGACAGTCGAATTGGGATTCCATCAAAGAATTGTGAATTTGCCCAACAATAGACAATGTCAAATGTCAAAAGTTAGCAGGGTGTGAAAGTGCAGAAATAGCCAAACAGCTTGGTGTCAATGGGTTTCTTTTTTATAAAAATTTCTTTTTTATTATTTATTATGAACTTTATTGAACTTTATCTAAAGAAATACTGTTTTTTAATAATTTGCAAAATTGAACATAATCAGCCTTTTCATGAGTTGCATTTTTGTCCGAATTTAAAAGTATAATTTTTTTTAGTAATATTAATATCATCGCTGCTTTTGGGGTTTCCACCTATTCGAAAATTACAAAAATCGAAACATTTCATCATACATTTTTTTTGGACAGGTGACACCACTGGCTGTTGATATTGCCGGAACTCATCTGGTTGTGGTCAGCACCAAAGGTTTTTAGGAATGAAGAAGTTGCTAGCTTCTATCAACCATCGTAGTGAACGTTTTCAAACTTCTATTTCATATATAATTATTTTGATATTAGTTATCAGTGGGGTTTGCATCGTGTGCGACCTATTCAACTTGCGAAATGAAGCTGGACAAAACAATAAAGTTCCATTGGACCTTGATCACGTCCACGAAATCTTGTTGTCAAGTGGCAGTGAGGAAGCGCGTGAACGGGATGATAATTGTAGACTATGGGATTGCGTGAATTTGTATCGTTGCGGACAAAAGGGACACGATCGCCTCACCGTGTTTGTCTATCCCTTGCAGGAATACATCGATAAGACAAGTGGGAATACCGTTTCAATACTTACAAGGGAATATTACCAAATCCTCGAGGCGGTTGTACGAAGTCGTTACTATACACCTAACCCAAATGAGGCTTGCTTGTTCCTTCCAAGCATTGACACCTTGAATAGTAATTTGGTTAAACCTGGTACAGTGGAGCAAGCATTAGCTATGCAGAATCATTGGGAAAATGGCGAGAATCACATTATATTTAATATGATACCTCGAGTTGACGGAAACATTTTGAAAACTGACCGTGCAATAGTGCTTGGAGGCGGATTTGATTCATGGACCTATCGGACAGGATTTGATTTAGCGTTACCAATTTTTAGTCCCACACAGCAAAAAGTAGCCGATTTATCCGCTAAATCAACGCACCTGCCGCGTAGAAATTTGTTGGTAGCCGTTTTACCAAACATATACCAAAAGTATCGTAGATATGTACAGACTTTGGCTGATGACAACCCGAATGATGTCCTTGTCATTGATAACTGCATTATATCAAATAAAGAATCTAGAAATGGAATTCATTGCAACAGTAGTCGCGCCAAAGTTTTCGAATATCCTCGAGTGTATGAAAAGGGTACTTTCTGTTTATACTCGCATAGTGTAACAATGGGACAATCGGATTTAATGGAAATGCTTGCTTACAACTGTATTCCCTTGATTGCGGTAGATAATTTCGTACTACCTTTTGAGGATGTCCTTGATTGGCCCCTATTCTCGATGAGAATTCGTGAGGCTGAAATGCACTCCATAGTAAAAAAGTTGGAAAAAATATCACATACAAAAATTTTTGAATTACAACGGCAAGGTCGTTGGGTATATAATCGATATTTCAAAGATTTGAATGTTATAACGCTAACTGCATTGGAGATTTTGGAAAATCGGATCTTTCCACATCGGGCTCGTAGCATAATGGATTGGAATAAACCGGACGATAACTACCGAAGTACTTTCAATCCACTCTTCTTGCCGGTTATTTCTCCCAAGGCGCAAGGCTTTACAGCCGTGATACTAACCTATGATAGAGTGGAAAGTCTGTTCACATTGATTCAAAAATTAGCTATGGTGCCATCACTACAGAGCATACTGGTTATTTGGAATAATCAAAATAAGATGCCGCCACATTGTAAAATATTTTGAATGTTTCCTGATTTTTGTCTTCTTTTACTTTGTCCTCTAATTTCAGTGTCTGCTTTTCCGACAATTTCCAAGCCTCTTAAAGTAATTCAAACTCGTGCAAACAGGCTTTCAAACCGCTTCTATCCATATAATGAAATCGAAACAGAAGCTATTCTTACAATCGATGACGACATTAACATGCTTACTACAGATGAGTTGGATTTTGGGTAACCAATGCGCTAACAATTGTAACTAACTCTTATTTAACGTGTATATATCTCTAATATTATAGATATGAAGTTTGGCGGGAGTTTCCGGATCGAATTGTTGGATTTCCTAGTCGTATTCACGTGTGGGACAATGCAACTATGCATTGGCGTTACGAGTCTGAATGGACTAACCAAATATCCATGGTACTCACTGGAGCAGCATTTCATCACAAATTTTGGAGTCATATGTACACATATGCCATGCCTGGAAATATCAAAGACTGGGTAGATCAGCATATGAATTGTGAAGACATCGCTATGAACTTTCTTGTTGCCAATATTACAAATAAGCCACCTATTAAAGTAACACCACGGAAAAAATTCAAATGTCCCGAATGTACAAATACCGAAATGCTCTCAGCCGATTTGAATCATATGCGCGAAAGATCAGCGTGCATTGATAGATTTGCCAGCATTTATGGACGCATGCCCCTGCATAGCGTTGAATTTAGAGCAGATCCTGTGCTCTTTAGAGACAATTTCCCAGAGAAACTAAAGCGTTTCAATGATGTTGGAAATCTGTAATAATATTACATTATTATTTTTACAAATATTTTAGAAACTAATTTCCATGCCATATAATTGTAATACTAGTACTAAATATGTATGTACATAGGTATGAACTGCAATTTAATATATTTTATATTGTGGTTGATCACGCTTGCCTCAGGTTGTCTGGTTATAAAATGTAACCACATAACCAGATAACCTGATAACCAGGCAAGCGTGAACGTTAATAAAAATATTCTCTCAAATAACTGTCCCGTTATTAAATGCGCACAACAATAGTGGCATAACCGTAAGTGCTTTGACCCTTTTATTCTAGTGATGAATTTTCCTAAGATTTTTTCTTCAAGTGAGTAGTAGATAGTATACATATTAAAAAACTAATACTAAAATGTATTTAGGAGCAAAAAGCACAAACTCACGTCAACAATTTGTGGCTGCCTTAAACGCGAGTTTCGACAAAGTTAAAAGACCTAAAATCGAGGATGTCCATAATTCTCCACAATTCGCGAAATCGGAATTCTTCTTATTGCCAATCCCTCTGCCAAAAGAAGCATCCCCTTCACATGACGACAGTGGGCGATTTGAGCAAAAAATGTCCAGTCGTGGCTCCAAGCAGTAATACAATATTGCATAAGGATGGTCGAAGGAAATCGGCGTTGATATCCATTTTCTTATAGGTCAGTTAAAGAGAGTAACGAAGGGAAAGCAACGAGGTGAAAATATTTTACTGCTGAAAAATTTGGATGGGGGACCTGTACTTCAAAGTATTTATTATGATTTTAATTTACGTGGATTCGAATCGGATAACCGATGATCTATTATTTTTTATTTTTTTTTAGAATATTACTCTTTTATCTTGTAGGACGCTTCTTGCGCGTCATTGGCCGCTTCGTATACAAAACGTCGCCTCCTTTGTTTTACTTCAAAACGAATAAGGAATAGTTCTGTTTATTAGTTTTGCGTACTTAAATTAATTTGTACTAGAATTAAACTAATTCCGATTCATTTAACTTACTTTTAAACATAAATTACTTCAGTTTATAGGGAAATCACAGTACATAAAAATGCTGACTATTGCACCCGCTGCTATTGCGGTTATATAACCCAAATGTAAGGCACTACGTCGTTCGCGGCGGTAACTAATGAAATCAAAATAATAATTATAGAAACCAAAATTTTTGAGAAAATAACTTGCGTCTGTTTCAGTGGTGAAAAGGGAGAGGGCGGACTTATACCAGGGACGTCGCTGTCGAAATACACCAGCATACAGGAAAATAAGGCCACTGCAACGCCACACAATAATGGACTGAACGTATCGGATAGGTTTTGTTCTTGCGTCCACCTTATAGCATCTTGTACTTTTGCCTGCAACATCGTCGATATGTCGAAAAGGCTCTCATTTTTGACATAGGGCACTGAAAAGAAAAAAAAATCACGTCTGAGTAAATTCATTTGTATGTGCGCTCTACAAAACTTTAGATAAGTACATATTTATATATGTTCCAAATTTTGTCTTAAGAACTGCAACGATCTCGACTCGAGCACACGTCGCTGGCCTTGTCTTTCCGGATGAACAAGCCCGTCCGAATGTAAAGAACTCTTTCTTCACTTGATGATTCGATACATATATTTATATATTTATATATATGTGATTTGTAATCAAAAATAGCGCATTAAAAACAATAGATTCTTTGGAATACATACATAAATATGTATAAGCCCATATTTATTTACATACATATGTATACTGGAACAGAATAATAATAAGACGGAAAGCTTTGAGCAGAAACTTTACAACAATTTGCTTTTAGTCATTTCTGCTAGGGCAAAAAGAAGAACGCATCTGAACTATGGCACTTGTATATAGTATATGCATACATACATATATACATACTACATAGGTAAGTACATAAGTACTGTTGTAAATGGAAGCATTCAACGCATGTATGTACATATATGCATATACCTACATATGTATGTAAGTATATATATGCAACAGGTACACGAATGTGGGCATTGTGAGATCATCGATAATTTATTTATTATTATTAGAATCATTCGAAATTTTTTTAATGTTTTGTAGGTATAAGGAAAAGCTACTTTGGCAATCGCTTACCTGTGATAATAACCATTTCGAAATGTATTCCAAGCAATAGCGCAAACAAAATCCGAAATTTTATATCCTCGTATTCGAAATGTTTTTACTTCCGGTGAATTGTTTATTTCTGCTAGTAATGTGGCCGACGATAATTTCGGCATTGGCGTAGACGAATCAATGATGTTTGAGCTGCCTAGCGATCGGACCGTCGGAGAGCAGAATTAAATCATCGTGGAAGGAGTTAACACATTTGTTTGAAGATAGAGTGCAGTATTCAAATGCTCCGGATCGTCCGCTAACTTTTTTTACCAATGCTATTGTGAAAATGAATGTATGTACATTTGTATGTATACCGTTTATTGCTTCTCTGTTTATGTTGGGAAACACGAGAGAAGTAAACAAATCGTCACTCATTAAAAATTGCTGGGCGTGAAATAGAGATGTCGGAAAAACATCGATGCATCGAAAATTTTCCACTCGATGTATCGATGCATCGATGTTTTTTGAAAATTCACATCTCTAGTACATTGAACCCATGAACCAAAAATACAAGATCAAGCCAGCAAGCCTAATCGTATTTAGGAAAAAAGTTGGGCGATTTTGACATTAGCCGTTTGTTTCCATTGGTTCGTTGCAATTTGGTGGTGGCTTTTTACTGGAATTTTCTTCATTTTCACTTGTGACAACGTGTGTACACATAAGGTAAAGAATAATTTAACACAACGACATGATTTATAGAAGAATTTGTATGATAAAATTGATTATTTATGCGTTAATAGAGACACAAATTTCGATACGATATGATACCATATCGATCTTTTTGCCATTCGATACCGATACTTTTTACTCGAAAGTTTTCAAATGATATTTTTTGGAATCGAGCACCGGAACCCTTGTATCGTATCGAATCGTAAATGTACATTACAAAGTTAATGTGAATAATGATACATTTGTATGACAAAGTATTAGAAAATAAAATGAAAACGTCAAAACTCTGGGAATTGGGCAAGACTATTTGTATAAAATATTTTGTAGTAATATTTGAAATATTTAAAGTTAATTTTCCAAATTCCAAAATGTAAAATTTGTCCTTACTAAAATTTCTATTGAAAGTTTTGTTGTTAATTTGTTTTTAAACATGCAGTTTCTTACAAATTTATGTCGGACTATAACCTTACTTACTTTGGAATTTAAAGCGCAGAAATGTGTACTATCTTAGGTTGGTATGTGGCGCGCCTTCAGTGATGTACTTATTAAAGTGCAAAGTGTTACTTCTTTAATAAAAAATGACACCAATATTCAGATTTAATTTTTTGAATTTTGTATCGATATTTGGAATATCGAGGCTTTTTATTACGATATTAATGGGTACCCGATATTTTTACAGCGATACTTTAAATGAGTACTATATCTATACTTTCGGTTCGATATCGTGTCCCTATCCCTGCAAGAAGCTTGACCTATGATTATCGGTTAAATTAGTGGGAAAACTGACTAAAACTTTTCGTCAGTTTAGCGGTTAGTTCTGTATGGGATTGGGGGGAAAAAAGTGACCACTTCTCCGGGCGTGTGATAGTGCATCCCTTTCTTACACACACATGGGCGCATTTGCCTTACAGTATGTTCACTCGCTCACACATGTCATCTAGTTGGTGATGTACAAGGGAGTTTAGCGATGAAACTATTGGAAAATATCGCGATAATTAGTGATTTTTCTAACCACTATTCTAACCTCTAAATAATTGATAAATTAGTGAATAGATGTCGGCAAAATATCCAAAAATGCATGAAACCAAATTAAAAAATACAATTCGATATTGTTATGTGTTTGTTTTATTGGTAAAAATACATATATTGTCAAATATTAACTTTATTTCGCAAGCTTTTTCAGAGCTACTGAGCTCCGACAATTATTCTCATTTTTAATCGGGTCTGAATTTTCGTCGCTAAAAACAAATGTCTCAGCGCCGTTTGGTCCTCTACCTCCATTGTTGTTGTTGTAGCAGCATACAAATTCCCCAAAGACATTTTGGGGAGTGTTGCTGGAGTGACAGTCCTTGGCCAGATATAAATCTGGGTCGTTCCGGTTACGTAGACCCGACTGTCGTGGGAACGCTCTACCTCCATTCCTAGGTTCTGCTGGAGTCCCACGTTGGCGTTGCACTGTATTTCAGCACTGTAGTCACTGACTCCACAGTCGGCCTAAGCACACTGGCCTCAAATTTTTTCTTCTCTATCCACATAGCGCTAAAAAAGGTTTTTTGCTAATTTTTTTTATATACAAATTGAATACACTGATTTTTATTAATTTTTTCTTTAAATTCACCGACTTCCTCTCTGTTTTGCACCACAGCTAACAATAATAAAATTTTCTTTGATGTATGTGTTTATGTACATGTTTCTTTCGTTCGCGCGTGATCTTGTGTCTTTCGTTCATGCATTGAACCGTTATTCCAGTTTTTTAATTGCACAAAAAAGAGAAGTGGCTTTGACCAAGAAATTAAAATCAATTTCTTGTCTGAAATTGTCTTATGTAAATGCAGCGTAAGTGCTTTGCATTCAAATATATGTATACAAAGGTGTGTATACTAGCATGCATCAGCCAGCATGCCTCTCTTCACACGGCCGGAAATGCAATTACGGCACATTTGACTGACATTTGCTACTGACAGACAGGTATGTATATATGTACATACCTACATAACGAAACAGTGTCAAAGCTAAATCGTTTAACCATTTATTAAATTAGTTGTTTTTAAAGTCAAATAACTCCAATAAACTCAGTTACTACATTAATTTAATTAAAATGTGATTTTTTTTTATCAAAGTAATAAGAACTGAATAAAAACTGAACTGAAAAACTCCCTTGAATCATTAGTATTGCAGAATTGAACTTATTGATTTTTCTCAAGAGAACATCTTACAAGGCGGGTATTTGTAGTAAATATGCGTGTGTATCATTTACAAATAGTCGTTTAAAGTACAAAACCGCGTATCGTGATTCTGCAAAACCGCGTAACTGACATTGCTGCCAAAAATTGGATTTGCTCACACAGCTCTTGGCTCAATCCTTATCCATTCGTCCTGAAATATACTAGGCAGACATGCAATTGCTTTATAAAAACGAGAACCATTTTGAAATATGAGTGTTTTTACGCTCTAGAAAATAATTTTTACAACTTCACATACGCGATTTTGCATTTTACTGATACGCGGTTTAGCATTTTGTTGATACGCGGTTTTGACTTTAAATCGACGAAATATGACTGTTCAACTAAGTTTTAAACTTTTTAAGTCCAAGTATAAAGTTGCTTAAAAATCTCGTTAATTTTTGAGTTTTTTTTTTTGTAGACGGATTATGCCCAATTCCGCGGACAATAAGGATATTATCAAATGCCATGCAAATGGGGAAGACGTCAGTGAAAAACTTTCGGAGCAGCTCGGACAACATGTTTCCGAACGAGTTAAACTGTTTGAGGCTCATCATCAAGCCCATCATCCAAAACCGCAACCACACAAGATAAACAACAACATACGCCATGTGGTACCAGTAGGCTTGATTATTGTGTTATTTACACTGTATCTGGCATTGCAATCCAAATACATAAGTAGGGGGCAAGAAGATAATTGGCACGACGATGCCAAAAGGCAAGAATTAGCAGCGCTGGAAGTGGCTAAACGTATCACAATATTAGAAAAGCTCTTGGAATACAAAGATCTTTGCACTGAGCTAGAAGTGTTTACAAAGGACATAGAAAGGGAACACCCTCCCGATGTATCTGTAGACATGATCAGCGGTGGTGAGAAGAACGATGAGTTAGAAAAAACTTATTCAAATACTGAAACTGTCGTAAAGAATAATAATACGGAAAAGGAAAATTATAAAAACAACCATAGTAATATCAATATTAAACCTAACAGCAACAATAAAAAAGGCCAACCAATGCCGAAGAAGACGAATACAGCAGAGCCCATCATTTATTTATTCGCATTAGTATTCATATATTTGCTTTTGAAAGCATTTTCAGACATAAATCAACACTATAAATCGGTAAGCGTATGATATATAGAGAGAATGAATCATTACCAGCTGAATACTGATACATATTTATTTGTTTTTCAGAAAAACAATGGGGACAAGCGACTACGACGTTGCTCATTGCAATCCTATGCTCAGACTCACAAACAAGATCGTCGTGCTTCTAAAGGTATAGCATACAACAAACCGTAAAAATACGTTATTTCAAAAAAGCTATTTATTAGAAGGTTTACATAGTAAGGGACTAAAATATGTAGAAGCTTAAAAGGATTTTTTNGTTAAACTATTTATTAGACGGTTTACATAGTAAGGGACTAAAATATGTAGAAGCTTAAAAGGATTTTTTGTGTGCATACATATCTACATATGCACATATGTATCCTTAAAATTAATTTGTATGCATAAGTATTCATATATGTACATATATGTATGTGTGTAATTGTTCATATTTTCGCAAAAAACTAGTTTTCCCTTCTTATGTTTGTATGTATGTTATTGTACACATCGCTAGCACTTAGTTAAAAGGTTAGTTAAAAGTTTTCGTATAATTTTGGCCTTACCGTGGCTGTGCGTATTTGGACTTAAATATAAACGAAAAAAAATAAAATAAAACAGCCACCTTAATCCTTATGTAAGCGATGTACTTTTATTTTCTCTATAACATATGACTTTTCACTATATGCTAACGATATGTATGTACATGTGTATGTTTTTGTGACTTACTTCTCTTACTAGTTTAGTTTTTTATTATTTACTACTTTATTTATTACTTTATTTATTTATTTACTACTTGGATAAATGAATTCTAAATAACTCCTATCTGTATAAAATATGTTTTCCTTGCTATTCCTTTCATTTTCCTTTTTTCAAATTTCAGGCCTCCATCGTATTTTTACTCGTACTTACTGAANATTCTCTTACTAGTTTAGTTTTTTATTATTTACTACTTTATTTATTTATTTACTACTTGGATAAATGAATTCTAAATAACTCCTATCTGTATAAAATATGTTTTCCTTGCTATTCCTTTCATTTTTCTTTTTTCAAATTTCAGGCCTCCATCGTATTTTTACTCGTACTTACTGAACGACTCTAGCACTATTTTTGGCATTGCAAAATTTTTATAACGCAACTCCATGCTCCTTTTAAAATGTCTGCCTTTTTCTTATGAACTGCACAGAAAAACTTATATTCTTGCAACTGTGTACATCTGACTGTGAAAACAATTTAACTTTAATTAGTTATATTCTTGTAATTATAATTTGTAAATTTGTATGTATGTTTTAATATCTTTCAATGTATCATATCAATAAAAATGTCACTTTCTTTAACTGTAACTGAACATTTTTGCTGTTTATTTTGTTCATTCTCTAGAAACCGTTAAGGTAATGTAAATGTAAATTTAAACAACTTCAAAAAAACCGCCGATCTAAATAGTGGGGAGAAAACTATTGGCCTAAACTTTTACATTTCCAAATTTTACTTTAGATCGAAAAAAAATCCGAAATTCTAGCTAATTTGCGGAAAAATACTTCATTTGACGAACAGAATCGGTTAGCAAATATTCAATGCGGAGTTTCCGTCTTACCAAAACAGGGTAAGTTTGCAAGATTCGTATCAATTGAAACAAACCATGCTTTTAAATTTTTAGATCGTCAGAAGAACGCTTTGCCAATAATACCTGTTTCGAATATGGCGCGCCGGACTTCTTTGGCTGGCGTGCATGTTAGCACGANCGGAAAAATACTTCATTTGACGAACAGAATCGGTTAGCAAATATTCAATGCGGAGTTTCCGTCTTACCAAAACAGGGTAAGTTTGCAAGATTTGTATCAATTGAAACAAACCATGCCTTTAAATTTTTAGATCGTCAGAAGAACGCTTTGCCAATAATACCTGCTTCGAATATGGCGCGCCGGACTTCTTTGGCTGGCGTGCATGTTAGCACGAATGAAGTTGCTGATCACGGGCAGGATGCGCAAATTCACGAAGTCAAAAGACGCGTGCGCATGATAAATCGACACTAAGGTGTGATACGTTTCCTGGGCCTCCTGTTACTTGAGCTTGATGACAATGATTGAACGTTGACCCGAAATAGGCGTTGTTGCGACCTCTGTTTATTTGGTTACTTTTAATAATTTTCATTTAAAATATAATACAATCTATAACAGAAAACACATAATTAAAAGTTTCAAAGCTTGGAAAGATTTAAAAAAAATTTTATCAAACCTTAAAAATTTCAAAACTTTTAATATTAACGNTTTTTAATAATTTCCATTTAAAATATAATACAATCTATAACAGAAAACACATAATTAAAAGTTTCAAAGCTTGGAATGATTTAAAAAAAAATTTTATCAAACCTTAAAAATTTCAAAACTTTTAATATTAACGCATGATCTAAATCTATTTTTATGAACACCGCAGCGACTTGAAACTTGCACTTTATTAGACTACAAGTAATTTTAAGCAAAATTTTCTTTATGTGTTTTCTGTTATAGATTGAATTATATTTTAAATGAAAATTATTATAAATAAATAAATAAACATAAGTTGCAAACAAAATCATTTTCAATTTCGTTTCTAATTAGATCGCAGGTGTACGTATGTACAAATGTACATACATACATACGTAAAATTAAAATTTTTAAATAGTTCTATTGATGTACAGTATTATCAATTTCAATTACATATATCATATGCTTGTTACCTGCAAAATTATGACACTTCACCTTCTTTTTTTTCTTTATTATATAAAAACTTTAAAAATATTACAAGTTTAAATTGCTGGCCAGTATTTCGTCGTTTAAAAATATTCTTGGTTACAAAACGATAAAACACTGCAGTTGTAAGAATAGTGTAGTTCCCATGGAAGGGCACTGCGCTACTCTCTAGATTTTTAAACAAATAATTCTTGTGTTTTGCACTCAAGTCTACTAAGTTAAATAATTTATAGCTATTTAATTTAATTATACATATATAAATAAAGTTGGATACACCTTTGAAGTGAATATGCATACAAATATATGTACGTACATATGTATAACTTAAACTAAAGCAACACCCACATTTTTGGAAATAAGATGTCATTATTTCTTATATGACTGTGAAAACAGTTTAACTTTATAGTTAAACTAAGCAAGATAGAAACAATCTTAAAAACTGTTACAATAAAATTTTAATATATATAATTACATAATTTAAAATCGTACAATAATATATTTCAGTTTTTAAGAGTACGTTTTAATTAAAAAATTTAATTTTTGTTTAGAAGAAATTTTCCATTTGTATCATCGCCATAAGAAAACAAACAAAATAAAACCCATAAACAAATACATATGTATGTTTACATTTTTTAATCTTTTTTTTTCATTTTTCAAGATAGTTCTAAGGAACATTTCACGTTAGGCTGCGATCGTTGNCTGTTTAGAAGAAATTTTCCATTTGTATCATCGCCATAAGAAAACAAACAAAATAAAAACCAATAAACAAATACATATGTTTACATTTTTTAATCTTTTTTTTTAATTTTTCAAGATAGTTCTAAGGAACATTTCACGTTAGGCTGCGATCGTTGCCCTCATAGAGGCTTTCACAACTTTCTAGCAACCGAAGCACCGGTGAAATATCGTAGGGATATAACTGCCGAGCTACTAACCGTGAGATGTGCAGGCGCAATCTTATCAAAACACTCATTGATTCGTCGAGTATTGGTGCACCCATTCCAAACTCGTGGCAACTTCGTAAGAACATATCCCAATTCGCTCGTATATATTTTAAGAAACGAAGGAGATATAATAAGAAGCATGTCTCATTACTGACAAGCAGGTCGAGTAAAAGGTCTGAACTATTTGAAATCATTTTGAGGAACTCTAAAAATGTGTATACAGGATTTAACATAGACACTAGCTCGGGAAAGGCGTTATTGCGGAACGATATGCCAGCTGTAACGTCTAATGTACAGACCATTGCTTCGATTAAATGATCATCCTGATCATCGAACAGATGTATGAGTATTTTGCTAAAGTGACACTCAGGATGGAATTCTAGTTTGTGCTTTATAAATGACTCTAGCCTCCGTAGTACATCACGTATGGAACGCTCGATCAGAACCATATCCTGATAGGCGTCGCAGTCATGCGAATCAATGGAAGAATCAGATGAATCGCTGCGTATTTCCTTAACTGTTACAGCGACAGATTTGAGCACAAGAAGCACCATTTTTTGTAGGATTGTTTTATCCATTTCTACGGTGTTAGAGTTTGATTCGGTGACGTCATTCGTAGCAATTGCCGAGGAGTGCTGGCTTGCGGCAGAAGTTAGTGCACCTGTCGCACAGGTAGAACCATGTGTTTGTGTCGATGACACACGCATTTGTGCCAGCAACGAAACCTGTGCGGCATTGTCCGTACATGCAACCGCAACTTGCTTAAAACCCAAAAAACTGACCATATTCTCTGGCTGATGCCGGGGAAGTGAGTCTAGGATGCGTGCCTCTTTCACATGCCGTACGATTTTTTGTGCCAAACGACACGTCTCCACTGGAAGCATATCCTGCAATGCAAGCGTTGATCCGTAACACAGAGCTTCGTTAAAAAGGCACAGAAGTTGCTTGTACACGGTGCATGAGAGCTGCTGTTGTTGTAAAAGTAGTTCAAACTTATCCAGTTGCGCATAAAACGGACGCGTTTCGACCACTGAAAGATTCGCCTTCACTGATATAATATTTTCCCACAATTGTAGGAAATTAAGAATGCAATGTTCGGCATGGTCTATATGCATATGGTTTACGATAAGAGCCGACATATTCCTCACTAGAGTTGGCCATTTACCTTCGAGTATTTTTATTGTTACACCTTTTAGATGTGAGGTGTCAAAACTCTCAGAGTCTGTGAGTGTTATGATATGACAACCTGGTGACAAAAGCGAACTAGCTAATGGGTCGGAGGACAACGGTTGCTCGCCGTTAATATCCACATTCAGCTCAGCTGTATTGGGTGTATTCGAAAAGTGTGTTGCGATTGGATCAAACGGCGGCACACGAGAATTGTGATCCGCTAAGCTATTTCGGGGCATCGACTGTTCATTAAAGGAATGCGTATTATCACTTACGTAATGCAGTGTCGCGTTGACAGTCTCATATGGAATTGTCGGTAGATAATTCGTATTGTTTTGCATAGTATTGTCATGAGAAAAATGTTGACGACGGTGCAGGTGCATTGTCATTTGTGATATGTGTTGATGGTGTCTTCGCGCATGCGCTTGGACCATACTCTCTTCTAAGACATCATCATCTAAGTCATCCTCATACTCATCATCTTCGTCTTCGATTTCTGGCTCATCATCCTCTTCTTCGTTATTAATTGCTTCATCAAGAGCACCACGAAATTGCAATGCAAAATAGTTCGTTTCCAATGTTGGCTGTTGCGGTTGGAAATGGAAAAACCTCTCGGTATCTAGGGCCTCACTTTCCCCAGTGCCACTGGTATTACTGAATGTACTATTTCTACACCGATCAGAAGCAAGACTATTACCACCTTGTGGGTCAATAATTTCGTCCTCAAGAGGATGCAAATCAACATCTTTCCACTCTACTATTCTTTTAATTATCTCCAAACTGAAATGTATTTTCTGCACCGCAGGCCCGTCGAGTCGTTCAAAATTGAAGAGGTTGTCAACCAGTTTCTTAAGCCAATTATCATCCAGCTCTTGTTTAGCGATCACTAGAAATGAAGCCAACACCCTTGCAGCCAAAAACTGTACGTACTCATTGCTGTAAGCGGCCAATACAATTATTTCGTCGATGAGATTATGATCGTTGCGTATAAGTACATCACACACGTCCATTATGCGTGCACAGATGAAGCCCTTCGAATTTTGCTTAAGATATATATCGAATAGGAGTTGCAAATTGGAAAGAAATTGTAAAAGTTTTTCCGTTGGCCACTCCGATAGATTTGCAATTCGCTTTTGACCATTCGCGTCAATTGAATAATGCGACTGGAAGGGTTTGCGTAGAGTACGCTCGGAAACACCGCAAAGGCACTGATTATTGAGTGAAGCCTCGAACTCGCGCATGTCCTGAGAATGTGCTGCTGCCAGCATCGGTGCAGCCTCCGCCGGCCTATCTTGTGGTTGTGTCGTGTGCTCGGTTAACGATTTTGGGTCTTCATTGCACGTGCTTACCATGTTAGAGAGTAAATCTGGCATTAGTGTTAATCGATCAACTTCGTCAGTGTTGCTGAATGTTGAATCAGGGCCACTACTTTTTGCTTTCCTATTAATGTTTTGCGGTGATATATCGGGTTTTAAAAAAGTATTGCTAGAAGTTGTGCACCCTTTGACGGTCGCAATACCTGCCAAAAGTTGACCATTCGTGGCTTGATCATTCAGCAAATGAGACAAGGATGTGGCTCGTGAACCTCCTGGCGTGGAAGTTGGAGAATTATTTGTAGAACTCGGTGTGGATATTGAATTGGCCGAAGATGAAAGCGAAGAGCTGCGTAACTGTTGCTGATTAATATTGCCTACTAATTTTCCGTTGACATTCGAAGATAGTAAGCTTACTCCACCAGTATGAATAATGTCCGGCGGAGGCGATACCGTTGAGGTCGCCGCCCCACCTCTTGAAGGCGATTTAACAACCTTAGCAGTCTTGTCTGCATTTGTTTTGATTTTTTCAATCTTTTGACGTTTAGTTTGTGGCTGTTCTGCATTGCTATTACTGTTGCAGTTATTACTGTTTGCCGGTGTTGGTATGGAATTATTACTGGCAACACTTTGATCTGCTTTAATAGATGACGAGTTGGACATTATGTGGACGATAGGCAATACGGTCCCGATTTCTAGCGTTAGACATGCAATCCTTGTATACTCCGTTTAGTTCTTCAATCTGCAAAGCAATAAAAGATGTTTAATATCTATGTACATACGATGATTTATACCAGTGATGGGCAGCGCAGGCAGAACTCCATAAGCGAGTGCAAAAGTGTTTCTGCCAGCGCTGCTTATGTCTGGTTTATACAGATAAATGTAAAAAGGAGTAATATTTTACCAATAATTATGTGATAAATAACTTTCTAAATGTGGTTGCAATTAACTTTTTTGTACAAAACGCAGTTCTCAAAATTTAGAGAGTATACCTACAGTTTGCGCAATATGATTTTCTGAAATAATTCCAAATTTGTACATGAAACAGTTGTGCCTTGCTGTTGGACAAAATATGCTACTGTGCTACGCATTTGCAAGGTTACGTATGCATTTCAGCAGCACATCAAATAACCACGCACGGTTTTGTTGTTGCCGAGTTGTTAGCTGTTGGCGGAGGCGTCGGTGCCTACCGTTTCGATTAGGCACACGCGGCGTAGTCAAAATATCCCATATTGTGTTATATTTTAACCTTTCGAAGCAAATCTTAAAAGCGACGCAATTTTAATTATAGTTATGGGCACATAGCACTTATTAATATAAGGTACCTATTTACCTTTTCCTATCTTCTTTCCGCTTTCTGCTTTTTAGCAGTGGAAATAGACGAGTGACAGTTTCTTGTTTCTTTCGTTTTTTCGCGAGATCGATGTCGCTTTCTTCATATTATGCCCTCTGTTGAGCATTTTCCGCTACGCATGACATATTTGACCATCTTGTATAACATTAAATATTTGGTTTAATATAATTTAAAGTCGTTTTTCAGCTAAAACAATTTTTCTCCAATTATTTTGTGCTACTCGATTTTGCTTTTTGTTGGAATTTGACTTCTTAATTACACACACCAATACACACTCGCTTGCAGTGCAACCAATATGANGATAATTTAGTCGTTTTTCAGCTAAAACAATTTTTCTCCAATTATTTTGTGCTACTCGATTTTGCTTTTTGTTGGAATTTGACTTCTTAATTACACACACCAATACACACTCGCTTGCAGTGCAACCAATATGACGACAGAACGAGCAAATCAACCAGTTGCTGCAAAACGTTTTACGTATGTACATTTAACGTAATGTTCAACGTTAAGTAAAAATTTAAAAATATTAATTATTTCTGGCCCGTATGAATAACAAATAAGCAATTACTTTTTCTTGAATTTTTAGTAAAAGTATAAAATTTTAAGAAAAAGCAATCACTTAGTTTTTATTCATACGGCCCACTGTGTGGCTAACGAACAAACGTTAAAAANGTGTTCATTTAACGTAATGTTCAACGTTAAGTAAAAATTGAAAAATTATTTCTGGCCCGTATGAATAACAAATAAGCAATTACTTTTTCTTGAATTTTTAGTAAAAGTATAAGATTTTAAGAAAAAGCAATCACTTAGTTTTTATTCATACGGCCCACTGTGTGGCTAACGAACAAACGTTAAAAATGGACGAACAGTAAGTGCTCATTTACACACACCGCAACTCGACGTTTGTTGGAGAGAGCGTGACGAGGAAAGGAGAGGGGCACCGAGTTGCTCGTGCTCGGGCAACACGCTTTGTGCTCTCGTTCGTCTGTGTAAATTGAACCGCTGTTCACAGCTGACAACAACAATTGCATACACACAAATCGCCGTGTGTAAATGAAACGAGCAACACCAAAAGGGAATGTGAAAAATTGCGGCGACAAAAGTTTAAATTATTGAAAAGTAATGAAATGCGCCATATAAATAAATTTACAAAACTGTCTAAAGTGAAATTTTAAAAATTAACCACTAGTCTTTCGCCTTCTATGGGAATTTTTTTAAACGATTGAAAAAGTATCAAAACTTAAAAAAGTGCCCTCCAAAATTCATCGAAAAATGTATCACTTTTGATCCACTTGGATGAAACGGTCACACTGNTATTATTGAAAAGTAATGAAATGCGCCATATAAATAAATTTACAAAACTGTCTAAAGTGAAAATTTAAAAATTAACCACTAGTCTTTCGCCTTCTATGGGAATTTTTTTACACGATTGAAAAAGTATCAAAACTTAAAAAAGTGTCCTCCAAAATGCATCGAAAAATGTATCACTTTTGATCCACTTGGATGAAACGGTCACACTGCACATATGAAGTAAATACTGACACATAGATGTCCCTGTCGAAACTTCTTCTGAGGATTACTTAAGTCGGTTGTGATAACCCTAACCCAGAAACACATTAAACTTAAGAAACAATCTTAATAAAACAAACAGTGCTTAAGGGAAACTATGCGACATATTAGCAAATAGCTCTGTAATAAGCCCTATAAACTATATCCTATTCAATGGATAAATTTGTATATAACATTGGGTATATGAAAATAATGCTTATATCGGCGTTTAATCCGAAAGCGTAATCATAATACTGACGCAAAACTTAACGAAACATATGCCGGATTTGGGTTCTGGGCTTTAGTTTTTCATTCGACATTGACAAACCTGCGTAGACAGAAATTGAATTTGTTTCCATCTGCTCCTCTGTGTGAACGTTATTAAGTTGTAATAATTCAGATTTATCGTTTAATTTGCTTTATTAAACAAATAAATACCTGTCGCAGCCTAGCAGCAATATTCAACATTTAAATTACTTTTAAAATTTGCACCGCGAATCTGCATCTTTGTAAACGCTTGCCTACGAAATTTCAGTAAATTTGGAAAAATGGCAGGACCACTTCCATTGCTTTCTGAGGAACCGGCTTATCTAAAATTGCAACAATTTTATAATGCCCACGGCAAAGATATTAAGATAAAGGAACTTTTTGCTAGTGATACTAATCGCTTCAATAAGTATAGGTGAGTTGTCTTGGATTGTGGTTGGTTGAAAAATTGCAGAGAAAAAGTTTGTATAACATCATATGATGTGTATATCCTTGTGCATATCCATGTATACGTGTATCAAATCAATTTAAATTTGATTTCAAAACGTACCATCATCGTTATGTATTCTTACATCGTATGTTTGTACATACATATGTACCTACACATATTGTGTACATACATATATTAGAAGTATGTATTTTATACAAAACACCTAAAACTCAAAGTGCAGATCTCAACCATAACTTAAATTATAATACATAATTATGTACATGCATATATAGGTTTATCTATACTTAATATATACATATATAGATATGTATGCATATGTATATCCCTACCTCCAAAAGCTCTTCTAGGGAGTTGAGTGACTGAACGACATGTCCTCAGTTGAGGGCACATTAGAATAGATATTAAGGTCGCTGTGCACACTTGTTTTCTGTTATCTATCTAACTACAGTATTCCCCGCTTGATTGTACTTCAAAAATGTTTGGTTAAATTAGCCGGGGAATCAATTAATCGATACTCGTTTAATTAAACAGTTCGTTCAATTACAGAAATTACGCTAAATTGGACAACCTAATCAATTAAAAGAAAATGCATGTGTGCATTTTAAGTCATTATTAAATGAAATAATATTTATATATTTTAAACTTTAAACGACAAAATATAAAGGATAAAAACAATTTATATTTATCATTGTACATTTGTAAGTATGTATATTTGTCCCCAAATTTTTAGAGATAATTGTTATAAAAAAACGATCACAGATGCTGTTTACCAGAAGGTCATGGACAAAGAGACGGCTCATGACACTTGGAAGGCGTTAAAGGAGCAATTTGAAGCAACTTCAAGAGACCAGCTGTTCAAGATTTGCACTGATTTCTTCGCATTCAATTGGGATCAAAACCAAGATGTATCTACCCATGTTGCAATACTACGAGGGCTGTGGAACGAGCTCAACAATGGTTTAAAAGTGAAAGGTGAAAATCCCCTTCCAGATTTGATTATTTTGTGCAAAACACTCAACATTTTGCCACTTAAATTTGAATCATTTCGGTCGAGCTGGATGCTTTTGTCAAAAGATGATGACAAGACTTTCGACGAGCTGAGTATACAACTAAGTGTTTTTGAGCGAAATTTCAAGAGGCCGAATGATATTCCCGAGGAGGAGGCATTATATTCAAAAAGCAGCAGGGCAGTTGGGCACAAGTCTAAGCAGAAGAAAGAAAGCAGCTGTCATTATTGCAAAAAGAAAGGCCATTGGATACGAGACTGTAAAAAGTGGATAGCAGACGGTCGACCATCGAAAAATAAACAGAATCATGAGGTGCAAAGTCTTGAAAAGAATACAAATGTTTCGCTGGTTAGTGTTTCGACTGAGTTGTATCCAGTAGATGTAAGCAGAATCACGTGGTGGGTGGACAATGGTGCCACAAAGCATGTGACTAACTGCAAAGATTTTCTTTTGGATTATACTGCGTTTAATGGTGAATACAGCATAAAAGCAGCTGGAAAGGAATGTCTTAAGGCGCTTGGCAAAGGGTCAATCGAGATGTTGTCAAAGATTAATGGTGAAACGCTGAAATTGACGCTAACAAATGTCTGGTATGTTCCAGAAATCAACAGAAATCTATTCTCCGTATTGGCTGCACAGGACCAAAATCCTGATAGTGAATTTTGGTCAACAAATGTTAAATGCTGGCTAAAAGTGAACGGCAATATTGTAATGCGTGGCTATCGAGAGGCTAATGGATCATTATTCCAAGCTGATATGAAACCAATTGTACCGGATGAGATGCATGCTAGTATAGTAGATACTGATGATTCATTGTTGCAGCTGTATCATGAACGATGGGGGCATCAAGATAAGCGGCATGTTAAAAAGTTACTTCAAAAAGAACTGGGAATAAACGTTAAAAATAACAATAATTTGTGCGAATCTTGTGTGTTTGGAAAGGCACATCGTTTACCTTTTGGCAACAGGATGAAAGCTATGAAACCAGGAGAATTGATGTCGGCTGATGTATGTGGCCCATTTCCAAACTCATTCAAGAAAAACAGATATTATGTAGTTTTTAAAGACTTGTTTACAAAGTTTCGATACTGCTATATCATCAAGAATAAATCAGATGTTAAAGATTCACTGGAAACTATTAGTCTGTTCCAATAGCAGTCCGGTTTACAGGATTTAGTCAGAACTTACAGGAAGTCGTTCCTATTGACATAAAACCTGTAAATGGGAACACATTTGAGAGAGCAACTGAGAAACTGTTCCTAGTCAGAAGTTACAGGATTTAGTCCGGAGTTTCTTTTCCTGTAAGTTCATGAAAAGTGTCAAACAATCAGCTGATTTGCATGTGCAAGCAAAAACTAACAGCGGTGAAAGCAAAGTACCTTATATTTGTAAAAAAATGGAAGTAAACAACGAAATGTTTGAATATGTATAGATTTTAATAATTATTTAGTGATATTTCAGCTAAATCAGTGTTGTACAAATGACATGTAAACAAACCGACTGACGTTTTTACAGGAAATAGTGCTTTTTGCGTTCCTATGCACTTCTGCATCTTTTCTCCTTTTACTCTCATTTGAGAGAGTAAAATTGTAGTTTGACAGTTCCACAGGTTTTAGTCCGAAGTTCAAAGGAACAGACTATATGCTTGCGCATGCTAAACAACAAGGTATTTTAGTAAAAGAACTGCTAAGTGACAATGGAGGAGAATTTAACAACTCGGAAGTAAAAGAGGTCTTAAAAAAACATGGTATAACACAAAGATTGACAGCGCCATACACACCAGAGCAGAATGGATCCAGTGAGAGGGAAAATCGTACCATTGTGGAGATGGCAAGAACTTTTATGTACTCAATTCTAATATAAAGTTTCCAGAAGCGATTTGGGCAGAATTTGTAACAGCGGCGGTTTACATACTTAATCGCACTGGGAAGTCATCTGTTGAAGATGTAAGTCCTTATGAACTGTGGATGACAAAAAAGCCGAGAATAAAACATATGCGGATTATT